GGGTTTAGGGTTTCGGGTCTGGGGGTAAGGAGGGCGCTTGGATGCTGGGGTTGAGTTGTAGGCGCATCCAAATTCCGTGTTAGTTTGACGTTTAGGGTTTAGGTTGGTTTGGGGAAGGGCATTCTTGGTTGCTAATAGCGGACAGTTCTTCTCCTCCGTACTTTCATGTATTGATCATAGACCTGCTTTTTAGCACCCTTTAAACAAAACCACAAGGGGCTGGGGGTGGAGGGCTGATACAGGGTTTTTTGTTCATCTCCCTGGGTTTCGACCCCAACGCTAAACCCCCCAAAGCCTAAACAACGTTGACGGGCTTAGGGTTTCGAATGGTAGTTTCCTTTTTCCAGGTATCCCCCAAACCCAAGACCCTCAACCCTGAACCCTAAACCAGCTTTAGATCTACCAATCTCAGGAACGTGAACAGGCACGCAAACTGCTTCACGCAGCACGCGAGGGGGCAGTGGTGGAGGTAGAGTCGCTGCTGTTTGGCTGAAGACTAGGGATGCACTTAGGGTAGCTTAGGGTTTAGAGTTCAGGAATACATTTACCCAGAGGGTCCATGTACCTGTGTCGTACATACTTGAGTAGCAAAACGGGAACCCCTCGGGCTCAGGCAGATATACCACATCCTTACATGGACCCTCTGGCTAAGGGCGTAGAGTTTGGTGTGTAAAATGTGGGTAGAGGGATGAGGCTTTTGCTTTTGAGCGTTCAGCGTGTATGGTTCAGGTTTGAGGCCTTTTTGGGCTTAGCGTTGGGATTAGCGTTGCTTTAAATCCGCAGTCACACGGAAACCTTCCTGACCCTATTGCCAAAGAATCCGGAGGATCTGAGCATTAGCGACAAAATCGATGGCCAGAAGCGAGTCCAAACCTCAAGGCAAGAGAATCCCAATCCCTAAACCTTCACCTGGCGTATTTCCAAGGACTTTAATGCTAAAGGCAAAGTGATTACCAATGTCACGGTCCTAGATTCCGAGCAAAAGTATGGTATAGAGTATTTACTTCAAGCAGACCTCAAAACCATGCTGGTGATCTTCTTAGCCTTACCGTAGCCTCAAAGATCAAATTCAGGCTGCGCCAGCCGCTAGATCCAGATGCCAGGGACACTCGTGGTGGCGACAGCACCTGACACCACAAAGCACTAATCGCTTCCCCCAAATTCATAACTTCCCAATTCTGAAATCTGCCTCCAAAACTATTTTTAAAAGGGCCAAGACTAAAGTGAATTTTGATTCGGATCCTCTGAGTTGGGGGGGATCCCTACCATGACCTTCAAGGATTAGGCATCCCCTTGATCTCCTAGAAGTGGATTGCTTTTTGCACATCGTTTGTGCACAAGAATGTATTCAAAAGAATAGATGCGATTTCAATTGGGTTTGTTGCGATGATTTTAAATCGTTTTTCAGTAGGTTCTGACCAGCTTTTAATTAGAAGTAGAGTAATCGCCCCATTTCACCTGGTTCCTAGGTCCCATACCTCCAAGTACAGGGTTGGTGTGGGATGGCTGGTGCTGTCGAAATTTTCTACATGTTCCACAACCTTGGGAAACTCAGGGCTTAGCATTTCGCATAGCACCCTCCTCCCGAACTGCCATTTAACCCCAAACGGTTTCTACGAGGACTCCTGTGCTTTTTGAAAGTAGCTACTAGTTGCCGGTGCTTGAGGCAGAGGATCCGGAAGGTAAGGACTCTTAAGTAGAGGGTTCAGGGTTTAAGGTTTCATCAAATCTTTGGTAGAAGGACATCATCTAAAACCCTTAACCTATGAACACGCGAATCCTCGCTGGATGTTGTATGTATGCGACGCTGGAATGTATTTTGGTTTGGATAACTAGGCTTAGGGTTTAGGATGGTTTAGGGACAACTGGAACCCTAAACCCTAAAGCCTAACTCCCAAATCCCAAGCCTTGAACCCTCAGACCAAACTCCTGAACCCTGAACTCCTGATGTTTCTGTGCCCTTGGACATTTTTGTAAGGCACACCTTTGCAAGTTGCTGCGTCCGTGGGGCACCTGGAGACCGTTCGCTTGTTGCTAGAGGCGAAGATTTAGGAATTAGAGTCGAATCTAGGTTTACAGCTCAGGGTTTCGTTGTTCGGCTTCGGTTTAGGATGTCCCTAAACCCTAAACCTTAAGAAGTAGCGTGGAAGCCAGACAGGGCCTACGAAGTCGTCCGTCTCCAGTAGCCCCTGTAGAATCCCCAAGATAAAGCATAGATCACCCTCTCAAAACTACAATTGCAGCCACGCCAGGGGATTCAGCAACTAGATCGGTCTCAGAATTCGAGATGCATAGATGAATGAGGCAATGCAAGGACTCCGTGCTACTACTTGGGCTCTCCCAGTTTTGTTTATAATGTACACCAAAGTTGCACTATTTGAATCACTATCCTGTAAGCTCACAAGTATCAAGAAAGATCCACAAATTAGAGGCTCTCGAGACTCGAAGCTTTAAATCGTATATAAGACTATTCTTTGACCATTCTTTCCTGACATGGAGATTCATGCCTAGCCAACACAACTCCGGAAGTCTGAGTCCTACAGCTAATATGAGCTATAGTCTAAATTCCTGAAAGAGGGTTATGTAGGGGATTATATAGGGGACTACTATAGGGTTTATTAAGGGTCCGATATGTGTGAGGATCCCCCAGCTACCCTGAAACCCGAAACCTGAGGCCTAAACCGTCATCCCTGAACCCTAAACCCTCATCCTTAAGCCCTAAACCCTCACCCTAAACCCTGAACCCTCATCCCTAGACCCTCAACCCTCATCCCTAAACTCTAAACCCTAAACCCCCAGAAGAGGCTGGAGCTGATAAAGACAACGTCTGCGGCGACACGCCCTTGCTGTTGGCAGCCTCGAGAGGTCATGCCGCGATCGTGCAGTTGCCTTGCTGCTTTAGGGTTTAGGGTTTAGGGTGAGTAACGAAAGAGCCAGTAGCCCAGAATGATATTCCACTTTGCGAGACTGTAATTTCCTACACTTCTGGGCTAAAGATTATGGTATTGGGTAACTAGGCTTGCCAGGTAGATGCTTTCCAATTTCCTGGCCCTCTGAAAGCATCTTATTTCGAGACATTTCGGTTCTTTTTGGGACGTCGACCAATGCCCGGGACCCTATACCCTAAACCCTTGACCGCATTGGGATCTCCTGACAAGTTCAGCATGTTGGAGTCTCGCAACCTTTTTTCCTAAACCCCATACATCCCATCAGTTTCCTAGATCTCTGCTGGGAGGCCAAAGAATATAGTAGGAATGTAATAGGAATATGTCTACCATCATCCTTATATTCCTTGGGTTCCATGCCCGTTTACAGTCCTGTTATATAGAACCCTATGGAACCCAGGAACGGCAAACTTCATGTGAGGGTACTGTTTCCTGAAACCCTAAGCCATCCATGTTGTTTTCCGTATTCTTTTCCATTTGATTTTCCATTTGACTTTCCATGAACCATCTGAGTAGAAAAAAGTTGACTGTAGCTAATGTAGGCTGCTAACTGAAACCTTAAACCCTAAACTGCAGCTCATGTAGGCTGCTAATTGAAGCTGGTGCTGATCTTGAGAAGACCAGAGCTCTTGGCGCCTCTCCCTTCTGGCTCGCCTGTATCTGGCTTGTGCTCAGAATTCCGAGGTTCTTTGTGGAAGATACATAAATATGAGTATGTATATGTACACAAAGATGTAAAAATACACGCATGTATGTCTATATGCAGGTCTATATGTATATGTTTTCGTGTATGTATATGTATATGTACTTGTATACGCATGCAGGTGTATATATATATATATTGTGTGTGTGTACGAGGAACCGTTGTGTAAATGTGCTCAGTGCGTCCCAAAACCATCACAGTATACATGTAGGTTCCTGCCTTATACATATATATATATATGCGTACATGTATGTATGTGTATATATATATATGTGGTGTGTGTGTGTATATATATATATTATACATATGTCTGGTGCGGGCCTAATTTCCAAAGTAGCCACCAAAAGTCTGCTTAGCAGGTGTCCTCTTTGCGTGCTCCTAGATAATCTGTGCCATTTGCGCAGCCCCAGCAAGTCAGCAAGATGAGGCTTTCATAGAAAGTTGTCCCACAGTTGCTTCGTTTCATATGTTTTGCATGTTAAAAGCATCGCAGACCGTCTTGCGCTAGTTTGAGTCAAAGAGGAATACTGTGCATCTTAAGCCCTAAGCCCAGGAGTAGCTGACGTCTCCTGAGGCAATCGTGTCTTGTCGTCTCAGTTACACTACTTTCGAAAGGTCATACTACATCCTGCTGGTCCACCTCTTTAAGGGCGCATTGACATAGCTACTACTTTGTGCAGGGCTTGGTTTAGACTTTGGACTAGAGGTAGCAGTGGGCACGTGAAGATCGTGAAGATGCTCCTCGATGCAGGGAGCAACAAGAACAAAGTTGATTCAAAAGGCTGCTCACCGCTGTGGATTTCATGTGCAAAAGGCCGGAGGGAGCTAGGGATCGTTGCGAGTGTAATCACCTCCTTGTTTGAGAAATCCCGCATCCCGCACCTACTGAGTTTAAGATCCCCCCCCCTCCCCCAATACTAGCTGGTATCATGTTGGAAGATTCCTTGTTAGAGGGATGAAGGCTTAGTTGATTTGGGGGA